CTGTGGAAAAAAACTTTAAAAAATCCTTATTCTCCCAGAACAAACCGCATCTCGTTATCTTTTCTCGTTTTCGAGATATTTACCTGCAAAATGTATCAGTTTATCTAAAGACTTTCACCAACTATGGATTTGTTAGAGAATTTTTTAAAGAACATCCAAACCTCAAGAGCCAATAATAATAAAAATTTCAAATGATCATTAGCAGCTCTTACGCAGAATTTTATGCGTGGAACTAAAAATCCAAATGCTTCCAGGGGGATTGTCAAGACCGTCCAAAGATTTCCCTTTCAAATCAATTAATAGCTCCAAATGAGCTGAAATCTGAAATTCTCAGGATTTGTACCTATTCCTTCACTGGAATAGATTTCTCTAAATATTTCAGATTTCTATTTATGATACAATGGGGTAGGGTTGCCACCTTTTAATTTCCGAAAACTCGTACATATATAATCGAAGCTACCTTTTTTTTTGTAGCATAATTTACACTCATATCTGTAATAGTATATTACATTACGAGTATAAAAAGTGACAAATTTCACACGAGTGTTTTTTCGCACGAGGCGGTAGCCGAGTGCGAAAATCACACGAGTATATGGAAGACGCTTTCTTCATCAAGTACATCAAGTGATGTACACCATTTTTCCTACGACCAGAATCCGATTTACACCAATTTTCTATTATTTTATTTCTTTTCATTTTCAACACACGTGCTGAAAGTACTTTCAATCCACGTATTGAAAGTAAATTGTGATGTCAATCAAAAATAATGTCAACAGTATTTTCCACACGTGTGCTGAAAGCAGTGGCGGATCTAGCATGAAGCAAACGACGCACCAGGAATCCAGGGCTGCGTCGGGCCCCCAGAGCTGAGGGGCCCCCACATAACCAGATTCTAAAGGGACCGATAAAAACGAATTAAAAAAAAAAACTCGTATTAAGATATAAAAAAAAAAATCGAAAATTAAATTTTGAAAGTGACGGCAACGTTGTATACCAGGATGCCTATTCTTGAAACCGGGGAACAGCGTTCTCACGAGAAAGAACGATTGCTCCGTCTTTGTCAGTGTTATGGAAATAGAAATATGGATAACTAAGACAGAACGCTTATCTCCTGTTTCGACAATAAAGGCCCTGTAGGGAATCCAGGGCTGGAATCATGACAAGTAGAATTCCACTTTCATGACGTCATTCGCGATAGATTTATCTCGTATACTACAGGCGATGATGACAGTTGCTAGGAAACCTGACGTCATGAAAGTAGAATTCTAGTAGAATGTCATAATCCCAACCCTGATGCACTCGACGCGATGCGGCAACCGCGGACGCGTCGAGTTTACGCGGCTTTTTTAGCTATTAGGCAATTTTTCGCGAGGATAATCAAGCATAATCTGATTATGCTGGGTTATGTGATGTGTCAATTGTATCATACTCCCCTAACTCCCTCTACATCAAATTCAGGGCCTGCGAGTGACGTCACTATCAGCAGTTTGTAGTGATGACGTCACACGCAGACCTTGATGAAATGCTTGCGATTCAGGCTGTGCTAGTGAGTTAATCTTTTCGTCGATTTTAAATGTAGAAAAGATGATTTTTGGTTTGTTCTCACAGAAGCAATTAGGTGTTCTTGGCATTCGATTATCCCAGAATTTGATGGTGGGGGAGTTAGGGGAGCAGGGATGTTCCGAGAGAATTTGTAAATGTGCTCTTGACAGTATAAAAAGTGGGCATATCTGACACAAAATGTGTATCCCCTTTGTTTTGCTTTTCAATGTTGCCGGTTGCCAATATGTATGTTTATTCTTACAACGTTTCCAGTTCCGATTGCCAATAATTTTCTATTTTCATTGCCGATTGTCGAGCAAGTTGGATTGGGCTGGGGCCGGCTGGGCAGTGGCGTACCAAGGATGATACACACCTACAGGATTGCTTATCGGCCTCCTCTTCTTCTTCTTCTTCTTCTTCTTCCAAATTGCTATGGCCCCTTGTCGATTAACAACAGTCAGCCAGCTTATCAGCCTCGTTTTTGGTAGTCTTCGCCATTGGCGTGTCACGTGTCACCATTTCCGACGTCATAACTAAGTTGTCAACCTACGTTAAGGCGGGAAATAACATGCTGCCTACGTCATAACTGGTGATTTGGCTTGGGGAGAAGAAGGGGAATTTGTTCCACACATGCTTGAAGCCTAGTACTCATAACTGCGCAATTCGCATATTTTTGACATTGCTTCGACAATTTGACGTTTGATATACACGCATAAAACGTCAAATTGTCAACGCACTGTCAAAAAAATGCGAATTTCGCAGTTATGAGTACTAGGCTTTATGAGGATAGGCCATTTTGTAGTAGTGTAGTACAGTAGTGCGTAGTGTGTATCATCCTTGTTGGCGTACAGTAGAGTGTACTGAGTGTAGAGTGAAGAGTATGGGAGTATGTATAAAGTACAGTGTACTTACACTCAGTACAAATTTACTGGAATGAAAACTCAAATTCAGAATATTTTGTGATCTATTTATTAACTGGAAAATTGTGACGTATTTATTCTAGAAATCAAATTGTGCATATCTAGAGATTGGGGTGCATACTGTGCATATAAATTGAAAGTGTGCATCAATATGCACAATTGTGCAGTTTGGAAGATCCCTGTAGGGGAGTATGACACAAATGACACATCATATAATCCAGCAAAAGATTATGCTTGGTTATCCTCACCAAAAATTGCCTATTGCAATGTCTTCCAGACTCAGATAATTTATGGCACTTGTCGGTGGAGTACGGGCAGTATCAATGCAGTGCGGTAATACTATGTTGTATTTCTTTTTGTTTAATTAAAAAGTTCCTGAATTTTTACAATTTTTTTTTTTCGTTCAACTTGTTTTCTGTCTCATATGTTCTTGACAAACTTGTTTTTTGATTAAATTTGTTTCTATATTTGGTTGTTAAAAACTTCAAAAATATAAATAACTTCCGTACACTCACCTCACACCCCAACACTACAGGAAAAATACCTAAAAAAAAGCATGACAGGGCCCCAAAAAAAAAATTTGCGTCGGGCCCCAAAGGTCCTAGGTCCGCCACTGGCTGAAAGTATTTTTAGCAAGCGTATTGAAAGTACTTTCAGCACGTGTGTGATATTCCGCGCTTTCCAAAGAACCAGTTAGTGCGGGTTTTGTCATTTTCGTATGTGGTCGTAGGAAAAATGAATTTTTCTACAAACGTCACTAAAAGTGTCATTTTTAACGGACGCTGTCAGTGTCTAAAATGCCATTTTATGACACTGGTGTTAAAAGTGATTACTTTTAGCACTAGTGCTAAAAGTAATCACTTTTAGTGCGTTTCTAGAAAAAATAGTGTATGATATTCATGCTAAAAGTAATTTTATTTTGTTCAAAACTTCCCTTTTCACAATATAAAATGTCACTTTTAGCACTTATATCATAAATAACTATTTTAGAAAATTAAAAAAAGGAAGCTACTTAATTTCAAACGCCCCCCCTGTAGTTACAATCTATTTTAAAAATTAAAAAAAAAAAAACAGAGACACTTTTATGTGAACAGGGAGAACGACACAATACATACCATTTGTTTTATTAGGCAGAAAAGCACAATATTTAATGCCGCGACTAGTGTTCCATAGCCGAAAGTGAAGCGAGGAAACCAGCCAAGGCATTAAATCTGATCTTTTGCCATGTGAAACATATATAATTTTTTCTCCGAATTTGTTACAGTTTCACGCATAATCTACTTTTTTATGTTTATCAATTGCGCTGATAACGTTTGTTGAATGGGAAGCAACAAACTTTTCTGCCTAAGCAGAAAAAGTCCACTTTTTCGTCGCTAACTGGAAACCGAAGACGTTCGTGACACACCCGTCTTTCAAGAAGTAAGAACGTTCAGAAACTAGTTGCGTATATCCTAAGGCGCTCGGCAATAGCCTTTATAAATTTTATATTGAGTTACATAGTTATCCAGATATTCCCGGACATTTTCATCATGCGTCCGGACACCGGACAAACGTTTGAAAAACCGAACAGTCCGGGTGAAAACCGGACAGGTGGCAACCCTACAATGGGGTAGTATACTAGGTATAAAAATCAGTAAAAAAACTGCTCGACATTATTCTATAGGCTAAATGGTGATGGTATAGTGAGATACTGAATTACTTTCCAGCATAGTGTCTTTAGAATTAGTCAGAGAAAAACAAACTGTGATTTGAATTTAGCGCCACAGCGGCGACCAATAGTATTCAAGCCGCTGATCATCATCGCTGCTCAAAATGCCTCAAAATGACAGCTGACTTCAACAGTTCAACGACGTGTGGTGTCGTGTGAATCGTGTGACATGTGACATTGTCACAGGAACTTGTCTACGTTGTTTGATGTAGTAAATTTGATGTTTCGTTCTTGACGGTCAATGTCAGTGCAAATTGTGCGTTCTCAAAACCGTGATGTGTTGCCAGATTGGAAAAACTAACTACGTCACGAACTTTTATTTTCACGTAGGGGCGGGACTAAGAGGAAAATAGAAAAAAGAATTTCCAGGCTATTGCGGTTTTTACAAAGCAACTGATCACACTAAACAGTATGATACGTCGAGTATATTACTACGTAGTAGTTAAAAATCACTTGTATACTACCCCATTGGAGATGTGATTTTTCATAGTTTATAAAAATGTTGAAATTTTTATTTTGAATGATCATTTTGAACTGCCTAAATTCCATAATAATCATTAGGGGATTTGAAGCTGAAATGTTTGATGCAAGAGCACCAGAAAAATTGAAAATGGTAGAATTTCTTCTTATTTCATAACTTTAATACACAGAGAGATATGTATACATTTTATAGTTTTTAGAGATTTACATCTTCTACCTTTGTATAAAAATGTTGAAATTTCAATTTAAATCCATGAAAAAATTCCATAAGTGTTTTTATTAGAGGCATAGAATAAGAAATCATTTTAGCATTTATTGTTTCTCTCAATTTATTCATTGAATATTTCCAGAAACGAGGTGCAAAGTCTCGGAAAAATGGAACAATCGATTATGCAAACGGCCGATAGTGTTCTGGACACCAGACGGCGAGTAGAGTACGGAGTTCATCAAATAATAGCTGAGATTGAAAAGCAAATTAAGGCCGCATCTGGAGATATTTCCCAAGGAATTAACGACAGGTACGTTTTCAAATATATTTGGATCATGTTGAATCATATCAGAATTTTCATTATTCATTTCTCCAATCATCAACATTAATAATCTGTGATGATTTTTGTTCAATTTGGATTGGTTTCTCTTTTCTATTTACTCTCAATGTTTCTGTTGTAGATTTGAATCATTCGAAATGTCAATCCTGGACGAAGAATACGGGGCGCTTCACAACCTGACATCAAAAATCCAAGAGGAAATCGGCCGGGTTTGGAGACAAATCGGAATAATGCATCAGCAAATGAGTGCCAGCACCGATACCCTCAACAAACTCCAAAATCAGACGGATGCGTATGTGAGCGGGTCTTTAGATGTAATGGACAGTATGAAAGGAAAAGTAATAATTTACAAAAAATAGATTCATTTGCTTGAAAAACTACATTATTCCAGGTGACCCAAATTACTGGTCGTATGTCTGAAGTGGACGAAAATCTCAACTTCCTCCTCGGTAAACTGTCGTTATTGTCGCAAGAATTCAATCGGATTAAATCCGGTTTGGGTACCACTCTGGACGAGATTCGGACCAGTTTCCAAAAGGTCCAGAACAAAATAAAGGATCAGGGGCCAGGGCCTCATAAGATTTCCAGCAATGAAATTGAAATTAGTTAAACAGGGGAGATAAATTGAATGAGTGTTTTTCTTTTTGTGATTTGTAACACAATTTATTGAATAATTTTTACTCCGAAAAGAACACTCATTGATTTTTCACGAGTTAAAGAATGTATGCTTTTATATTAATAATTATTCTAATTAGTTAATTTAAAATAGTTTTGTAGTGTATTGTAATTATTTATATTAAAAAAAAATAATATGAAATAAAAAATTTAATTTTTGAAGTGAAACTGTAAAACTTCTTAGGCGACGGTCTGATATTTGGACGACAATGGAGAGTGTTTGGAAAAACGGGTCACGGGCAAATTTCGTTACTCAAGAAAGAAGAAAGGAATAACGTAAAGAGACGAAGTAAGATAGCTATTGATTCTCACAAACCAAGGATTATAAGCGCAAAGAGGATTGTTTATTATTAACAAGTGCCAATACCCTTGTGACGTCACTACACATGCGCGTCTCCCTTCATCTTTACAACTTGACCGCGACTTGTATGCGAGGCGAATAGTTTTTAGGAAGTTTTACATGATTTTTATTTCTTTAATTTTTTTAAATAAATTCAGGTTCAAATATTTTTAATAAATCCTATTTAAGATTCTTGAACTGAAAATTTACCATGTTGCTATTCTTTGGTGTGTTCAAAGGATGCAAGTTCAAGATCCAAATTCTAAAAAAATTTCAATTTCAAAATTAGCCCTTGATTTGGATTTGAATTATTTCTCAAGCCTACCTAATCAAGAATCTCCTGATGAATGCGGCTGCGGCTATTAAATACTGGAAATATACACAACAGTAACTTATGTTTTGTAGAAAAAAAGGGAACAAAGTATTTAAATTAATTTATTTTCATGGATAACGATCGTTGAAACTTGATAATAATATCTGAATAATTTAGATTGAAATTTACACTTTTTCATTATCTATAGCCCTCAATTATTCAAACGCTATCAATTTCATATTAAAGCTTTAATATATAAATACATTACTCTTTCAAATATTTTAAAAAATTTCCTCGCTACAAATAATCGGTCACGATAAACTCGCAGCTTCTTTGAATGGTTATATGAGGGTACTGTTGCCTCCATATTTCAACCTAAAAATAAAAAAAGTAACAATTAAATATTCAAAAGTTAAAATTGCTAAATTTATATTTACAAGTGTGATAAATAATGGGTTTAATTTCATTTTAAAAAATACTTCTAAAACCTACAACAAGCGTTACAATACCAAACAAAAATGTTTTATATTGAAAAATTATATGCATTTTTTTTTTTTCACTTTCAAACTTTTGCTTTCATTAATCTCATATGAAAAAAGAAAAAATGAACACAATAATCTAGATATTTTTCTATTATCATTACACAACCTGGAAACGCATGCAAAACTCGATTTGACTTATCAAAGAACAAGAAAATCTTACAATAATTTCTAGATTTCCAAATTACCTGGAATTTCCAATTATTTGTTTGTTTTGTGTCATTCCATTCCAGTTCAATGTTTTATATTACTATTAATGTGAATTATTGAGATTTGAACAAAAGAAAAATAAAAATAGATAAACAAATTAATAGAATTATCAGTTTATCTATAGTCTAGGAAAATAATCAAAAAATACATGTATTGCAAAAAAAAAATTCCTACCCAAATGAACTTTTCAGTGATGATAGGGAGCGGGTGGGTGATCATACATCAAACATTCACCCCTCTGGCGTTTTGCGCTATAGGGGTTGAAAGTGCGCCATTGGAGATTACTTGGTGTTATATATGTGGCAACCATGCCACATTATAGGGTGGAAAACGCGCATGCGATACCAGGACGAATGTGAAGCTGGCCCGTCGGAGAATGTGACGGTAGTCGGTAACTAGCCTTTTAATGACAAGTTATAATTTATTACGCCCATGTAAATTCGTTTCTGAAGGTTTCGAAAGGTCTTGAGGATAAAGACTCTAAAGACCAGCTTTGGAGATTAATGCAAGATTCTAAGGCACTTGATCTAAATCCTTGGAACTTAGAAGAATTTTAATACTTTGAACAATTTAGAGATCTTGAAAAGCCTTGAGGCTCATGACTAAAAACTCTGGGGATTTTGAAGTCTTCGAAGACTCCTTTATAAAATATTTTGGAAGAAGAACTTCACTGAGCTAAGATCAGAAAGATACAGAAGTTATTGGCGTCTTGATTAATTATTCTAGAGCCATTGCAGACTACGGATTCTGAAGATCCTGCGAAGGTTTCAAAATGTCTCGGGATAAAGACTCTGAATACCACAGCTTTGGAGACCAATGCAAAATTTCAACTCACTTGATCTAAAACCTTGGAACTTAGAAGCATCCTTATACTTTGCAAACCTTAGAGATCTTGAAAAGTCTTAACTGAAGACTATTGGAATTTTGAAGTCTCTGAAGACTATTTTTTTTTTCAAATATTTTGAAATAAGAACTTTATTGAGCTAACAGCTAAGAAGACTTTAAAGACCATAGCTTTGGAGACCAATGCAAGATTCTAACACACTTGATTTAAAGCCTTCAAACTAGGAAGAATTCTTATACTTTTAACACCTTAGAGATTTTGAGGCTCATGACTGAAAACTCTGGGGATTTTGAAGTCTCTGAAGACTCATTTTTCAAAATATTTTGAAATAAGGACTTTACTGAGCTAAAATCAGGAGATGCAAAAGATGTTGGCGTCTTGATCAATTATTCTAGGGCCTTTACAGACTGAAGATTCTGAAAATCCTGAAAGTTTCGAAATTTCTTGAGGATAAAGACTCTCAAGACCATAGCTTTGGAGACCAATGCAAGATTCTAAGGCACTTGCAAGTATGCTAATACTACAGAATACTACGTACGAAAAAACAATATTTGATCAAAAATAACAATATTTTTCAATTTTTCGCTAACAAATCCTTCCGACAATCTATCGAAAAAATAAAAACCACATGATTTGAGAGTTCTAGGTTATTTTACAGTAGAATTAATAATGTTTAGTGAATTCTATGATATTTAGTTGAGTTCCGTATAGGATTAAGTTTATTTGTTCTCAACATTTTATTTTGGAAAATCGAAAAGTACCAATTTTTAGGTTCGGTAACCTATTTTTTGCGAGGCCCTTTATAGTCCAAGAGCCCAGAGCCGCCAGACACAACTTATTTTCTAACGGACAGAATATGTGGAATTGTGTAGCACTTATATGTACTATGAACGTATGTATACCCGCTAAGTTGGGTAGACGGCCAATTTACCACTAGGAGTTGGGAAAGCTGAAGAAAGCTTCAACTTTTTTTCTAACGCTTGATTTTTATATATGGTATTTTGGAGACTATTTTATAACTACGTGTGCTCAGCCAGACCAATCGCACCGGCCAAACATTCCCCCAGACGCAAAATAATTTTTCCGGGAGTGTGAGCGCGAGGGTACTATGCATGCGTTTGAGAGTGAGCGAGATATCTATGTCAACTGATTTCCCCCTCTTAAACGTACAGTCTACTCTAGGCTAGAGTAGAAATGGGATTCGGTTTTTCCCATAATAGGAAAAACCGTTATTTACAAATAACAGTCAATTGGCCGTCTACTCAACTTAGCGAATATACATACGTTCATAGTACCTATAAGTGCTACTCAATCCCACATATTCTGTCCTTTAGAAAATAAGTTGTGTCTGGCGGCTCTGGGCTCTTGGACTATTAGGGCGGGAGGCCGTTGGCAGTCGCCGACGCCTAGCTACGCCACTGTCTGAAAATCACTCTTTTGAATCCCCCATAAGAAATACATTGCTGTCAAATTTGTTGAAATGTGTTTAGGAACCTATTTTAAATTTCGCGCCCGATTTTTCCTAACCTAACTAATATGGTGGATTCACTTTTTATTTATATATCTTTTAAAATACACAAAATAAAGAGAGACGGAAATTGTTTAGCTGTTTAATTCTTGAGACAAATTTTTCGCATTTTTCATTTTTGTTTACTGGACTGGATTCTTGATTTATGCAATTTGCCAATTATTTGATTGATTTAGAATTTTTCTAGCCGGTTTTTCAGCACATACTGGTTTTCCAGGCACTTTTTGTGCAGAAATTGCGTCAAGGTAAGTATTATTTGACATTATTTCCTATTCAAATTGAAAGCTATATTCTTACCTCACTTTGTCGCACACCATCGCAAAAACTGATGTCCAACAGACGAAGTTTGGGCAAACGGAACAAAGCGTTTTCGCACACGTCGGCGGTGATAGTTTTGATCCCGATCAAATCTATCTGGGTGAGTTCTTTGCAGGATAAAATCACAGGCATGAGAAGCTGTTCGCTTAATCCACGCCACTCGGAGAGTATCAGCCTGAGGAAAAAGTTTATATTTTTATTCACAAGATGATACTTATCTTTCTTTAATCATGATAAAAATATTTATCCAGTTGTGGATAATATAAGTATTGTATTCTACTCACAAATATTCACCTTTTCAGACGTTTACATCCGTTAGCGATCGACAAAAGACAATCGCCCGGATCCCGATCAATCAGACACCAACCCAAATCCAGTTCTTCCAAATTCTGGCACAAACCGAATTTGCGAATTCCGTCGGGGGTAAAGTAAAACGATTTCCAGGAGCGCCACGTTTTCAGTTTTTTATTGAACATAGCAACTGTTTCGACTATTTGGTCAACTAGGACAAGTTTTTCACAAAGATCTAGAATTAAAACAATAATTTCACTTAGAATTTTTGATTAAAGATCTTCTTACCCAAATTTAAATTTTCCAAATGCGGATTAGCCATCAAAATCTGTATTAAATCTTGAGCAATAATATATGTCAGGCTCAAATCCAAAGACACCAAATTGGTTAATTTATCCAGAGGACATCTGATCCAGTTGAAACTATTGTGTAATCTTAAATCTACAGAAAAAAACAACCATCAGTTTTGAGCACAAATATCTTCATTATTTTGCAACTCACCTACTAGCTCTGTACATTGATTTATTTTTCCAATAACATCAAAATCCACAAAATAGTTGTCATTTAGGCTCAAGTGAGTCAAAGTCTTGCTAGCTCCTTCTATAATACTAACAGAAATTCTATTTTAGTATTTGAAACACAAAAATCTTCTCATTGAACCAATTATTATTCGATAATCAAAAATAGGTGAATCTTACCTTTGTAACTTAAGATGGTAATCGTAATTTAATCTTTGGTGGAAATAAAGTTGGTGTTCGTTGCACCAAGAGAGATCGAGTTTTTTGAGGTTGACGATTTTTTTTTGGAAGTGGTCCAGAGTTTCTGTGTCTACCAGATACCAGTATATCTGAAATAAAAATGTTCAAAGTTCCCATAAATTCAAATATCTAATAAGTTTGGATCCATTGTCAAATCAATTTAGCCAGGTAATCCTTTTTTTTGTAGTTGTAGTTGTAGTTTTTACTTTAATGGTTTTTTGATCTGCAGAAGATTTGAAAGATGAAAAAAACTCTCACCTTAAGACTAATATTTTGATAAAGTGTCTGATCTCGAGCCAATTTATTCCATCTGTGATTCACTTGCGCACATCTACTCAGCGATTTCAAATCCAAATAGTGAAAAATATTTATAATAATTTCATCCTAAAATATTATTCAGTCTGTCAAATAGAAAAAACTTATTTCTTGAAGAAAAACCTTACAGGTAATAAGCAAAAACAATCCACAGGCTCTAAATTCTCAGAAACATCACCTTGGTTTTTTGTTCTCTTTTCCAAATCTCCAACAGTTAGCTCCCTTATTGTTTGAGGTGTATTAAATTTAACTTCTGTCAATCCGTGCCGGATTATTTCACTTTGGAAAGTGGTTTCTGGCTGGTAACCGCTCAAAAGGACCGCATCTATGGCTGTGTGATATTCTAGGTGGCTTTGGTTGAATTCTAGCCTAATTATACTGAAAAGATAAAAGGGGTTTTGAATTTTAAAAATCTAAATTTATGTTGTTTCTGTAATAACTTGATTATGGTGTTCAATAAAACTATTATAAGTACTTTCTAGATATCACATTTTATTTTATCACAAGTGGGTTTCGGTTTCCAATCTTTATCATGTCATAGCCATTGCAGAAGAGAATCTTCTTTTTTGTGCTAACTGGCACCTTTTCTATTACGAATGTGCGTATTCCAATTATTATAATTCATTGGCACGACATTACAGAGAAAGACTCAAAAGGAATCATATTATGTATGTATATGACAGTTTCTTACTTTATCAGGCAGTTAATTTTTCTAAGTGGAGGACAAAACTTTCTGGACTTGGGAGCGCATTTTTGTGGAAATCCTTCCCAAAGCAAATGCCATTTCGGATCGATTTTTAACCTGCCCCATATACGAATTACGGCACCTGGATTGTAGACTTCGTAAATGAATATTTCTCTAGGAACCACTGTACTTCCAAATCTGAAATTAAAATATATTAAAGCTTATTTTCTGGATTTCTTTTTTTTTTGCTATTTTGTATCACAATAATGGAGAAAATAAACTCTTTTAATCTATTATACAGGGTGGTCCATTAAAGTTATTTGAGACAGTCTGGATATCTCAAAAACAGCGCTCTTTTGAAAAAAAAATAAAATCAAATGCCTATAAGTTGTTAAAGTGAATAATCCAAATTGACCACCCTATATATATTTTTTTTTCTGTAAAAAAACAAGAAAGGGAAAGTAACCTGTTGTAACGCATATTTGTATTGAATACTACCTATATCTACTTATATAAAATAAAACTAAGCACATACAGGGTGTTGAGTCATCTAGGTGCTTCATTTATTTATAAGTGTAATTTATTTAATGTTAGGTACTCGGTTAATTATGTATGTAAGTATGTAGTTACATATTTGGAAATTAATTTAAAGAAGGAGGCACGATTTACATTGAAAATAGGCCCCCGTAAATTTCAACCAAATTTCAATATTTTAAAGGTATCATCATTGTAAAAAAAATTTTGAAATGTAAAGAGGATCGTATATCTGTGATAGCAGATATAGCTTGTCAAAGTACGTAGGTCCTGCTATGCTATGCATAGGAAATATTCGAGGAAATATCTCTACGTAGTTTTTCTTGAATATCTCGAAAAATACTAATCCAATTTTGACGGTTTTGGGGTCCTTTTGTAGGTATCAAACCCAAAAAACGTCAAAATCAGACTAGTATTTTTCGAGATATTCAAGAAAATCTAATATTTCCTCGGATATTTCCTATGCATACCATAGCAGGACCTACGTACTTTGACAAGCTATATCTGCTATCACAGACATACGATCCTCTTTATATTTCAAATTTTTTTTTGCAATGATGATACCTTTAAAATATTGAAATTTGGTTGAATTTTACGGGGGCCTATTTTCAATGTAAATCGTACCTCCTTCTGAATTGAATTTGAAAATGATTTTTTAAAAGGCAGCAAAATTTACTCAAATAAAAAAAAGTATTAGTTACTCTAGAGTGATAAAATCCTCGGCTCCAAGTAAATCAAAATCCTGAGGTCTGTAGTCTTTCTGAGTTGCTGAGCTGGTTTTCCACCATTTTCCATAAGATCTCTAAAAAATAAAAAAAAGTCCATTCACCTACAGACCTACAGCAATAAGCCAATCATTCCAAATTTTTCAAAAAAAAAAATGTGGCATCATTGGCAACAAGCAAGCGCATGATCAGCTTTAAGGCCGGCCTACACTTTGATTAGTAGCAAGTGCAGGTGTGTAGTCAGGGCCGCAACTAGAACCCTTGGCACCCAAGGCAAGTCCAAATTTTGGCGCCTTTCCACCGCGGAAATATTAACAGAAAATTTTCAAATTTGTATGTACGGTACATGTAAACAAAAACAAAACAAACTGCACTGGTTCTCCACAAGTCTTCATAGCTCGTGCCAAAAAATGCGCACTGAGTGCATAAGGTACTATTTATTGTTAGGACAGTGCGAGACGCAAAACTCCCAACGTAAACGTCGGCAGAATCTGTTCAGCCAATGACATTTGTTCAGCACGACGTACACCAGTTCTCTGACCCTGTACGTCGCGGTCACCTGCGCAAAGCCCACAAACCTGTCTAGGCAATCTACTGACCTGTCAAAAACGAAATTCAATATGGAAGTTCGGGTCAAGCACGGTGTTGTTTATTCTATATGTCATTGATCCTGTCACATTCTAGAGAAACGTCCAGATTTGAATCACCGGATTTTGTGTTTTTTTGGGTGTTTAGGTATTGTGTTAATTAAAATGCCAGCGATTTACATCGTAATTAATCGGGTGTGGAAGTCGAGGTAACAGGGATAATGTGAAATTTTATTAAGTTCCTGCTATTTTAAGTCATTGGCTTTTGATCTACAAATATGAATTATCAAAACAACGCAGGGCTTAATGGATTGCTGCAACTAAAAGCTCGATTTTCCCCTAATAATAATACCTTAAGATATTCACTCTCCATCTCAGAATTTATTAATAAATTAAAAAATACGTAGAAACACTATAAACACTATAAAATTCACTTTGAAAACAACAAGGGCCAGAACACTAAAAATACGTAGAAATACTAAATACTATAAAATTCACTATGAACACAACAATGACCAAAACCAATGAAAAATACGTAGAAGCACATAAAATTCAGTTCGAAAGCAGCAAGGGCCAGAATAATACAAATGCTCTCCTTATGAATGTCAAACGTCACCGGCTTGTCACCGCAATATTTGACCCATAGAGAAATATAAGGCGATTTTCAGCCTGGAATGATTATTATTTGGTTATTATTATATTGGCAACATTGCCAATATATAGAAGCATTAGCACCCTTGAGTTGGCAACACTACGAAGTGTCCTGACGCAACATTGCGCATGAGCATGAGCATGGAAAAAAGGCAAACGAAAGGTTTTGGCGAAAATCGAGCTCTCTCTCCTCCTGGCTGTCCGCGAAGCAACAACTCATTAACTAAAAGGTCTCAATGTGAAACTAAAAAAATTAGGCTACCGCTGCTCGCCGGAAAATTACCTAGTCAAATCCAAATAAATAATTAAGTAATTAATTCGAGTGTTTTAATTGACCTTTTGTTTGGACGCCATATTGCGGTGCGCGAACATAGTTGCCAACAGTAGAAAATTTTTTTATTAGCGTTCTGTCAACTTCAAAATCCAAAGTTAATGAATAAATTACATTTAAAATTTAAATTTACCGCCTATTACGAATGTTTTTGGAAAGAAAAACCATCAATTTTAACTTGTATTGAGCAGAATAGAAATAATAAAATATCTAGTTGACAGCCCGCTAGTAATTTTTGGTTTTCTTGTTTTGGCAACTATGTTCGCGCACCGCAATATGGCGTCCAAACAAAAGGTCAATTAATCGACATAGAAATACAACAATTATAACCAATGAACTATAGCTAAAAACTGGAATGCGCACACATTGCCATATCTGCCAAAAAAATGAAGCCATGAAAGACAGATGCCACAAGGGGGAATGTTGTTTTTTTCTTTATGTTTATGCTGACATATGACGTTTTCGAAAGTTTTGTCATATTTCCCTTCACAGGTTTCATCGATTGGAATACGTGTTGGAAGCAATTTTCGCCATTTAACATAATGAGTGCGACAAAAACAGGTATCCCCTCCGCAGCAGCCGCACTAGGCTTCACGTTCGTCCTTATGTGTTAGCATTCCAGTTTTTGGTTATAGTTCATTGGTTATAACCAATGCATTTCCGCCGTCGCGGTTTTAACCAAAGTAGGGGAAGTTGTGACGTCACATATCAGCTGATTTGCTTTTGGTATTTACCACTTATAACCGATTATAACCCAGCTTTGGACTTGGGTTTATCTTTTGGTTACAGCTTTTTGATATTATTGTTATTATTTTTGGAATTTGTATCGGTGTTTTGTGATTTTGCAGTTGCGTTGTAGCCTGGCACAATGAAAGAAGTATACATTCACTCACTCACTGCAATTCACCATATTTAGATCGAGGTTTAGATCATCCCCAAAGAAAATCTGTTCGATAAACGAGACTAACGAGAGATTCAGCTCCATTTTTTGTACCTAAACAAAATACTATTGTTGAAACGAAAAAACAAATAAGAATAATAAACATAATCCTACACTGCTATAACCAAATCATTTCAGCGGTCAGTTCCTTGGGTTATGATTCTTGAATGGTGGGGGGCTATGACGTCACACTTGGCTGTCGAAGTTGTCAACCAAAAGAATAACCACGGTATTTACCGATAAATAATCATTCCAGGCTGAAAATCGCCTATAATAAACCAAGGTAAGAGTTACCGATTCATATGCGCCAAGTGGCAACGTATTTCTTGTAGCACATGGTGGCGCTAGTATAGCTTGGAACTATCTGACAATTCTAACATCGCCTCCCATTCTTATATCTGTCTCTTTTTAACATATGTGATAATAAAGGAAGAGAGGACATAGGGTTTTTTATTTATTTTACATTGCGATTTCTAACCTATAAAATGACATTTTTCTGTTTTTAAAACTGACAAAAATAAGTGTCAAGTGAACCTGAAATTAATTAGTTTATTAAAAATACATGATTCTGGTGAGATTTACAATGTGAAAATCGTTAAGTTCATGCATAAATAATAATAATTATTAAATACTAACCTATTATTAGTGAAAAGTGAGATGTTTTGATCAAAATATATAGATTACTTCATAGACATTTTTTGATTATTGATTTTTGTTTTCAGGCCAGCGTTTTCCCGCAATTCTTTTCCTGTCGACTGCGGAAAAACGCTGGGCTAGAGTCCTATCTCAAAAATAACAAGACTATAATCTAAAAGTTCAAAAAGCCCGCCAAATATTATTTAAGTTGGTCTTGTAGTGGATAGTGGCGCTAGTATCGATATGATGCCAGTGTCGCACTACAGAACTGGTTACTCTCACCTTGGTTTATTATATTTCTCTATGATTTGACCCGGACGGCCATTATAAAATCACGTGATTGAGATTGCCTAAACGCCGTCATTGGTTCAGGTATGACCTACACGCGTTTTCTGACGCTGACGTCAGAAAACGGGTGTACGTCATACCTGAACCAATGACGACGTTTACGTCGTCAGTTGTTCGTCGCGTTCTAACCTAACAAACCGTACCTTTACAAATACGTAAACGAATGTTATGTGTCAATCCTGAAGTTCTTGCTAAAATCTTAGGACCGCTAGAACTGGTTCAGAAACGGTTTCGAACCGATTCTGGTTGATCCGCGAATCCAAAACCGTAACTGGAAGTTCGGAATTTTGTGATCCGCGAACGTCATTACTTGAACTGCGCATGCGAAATAGTTTCGAACCAGTTCAGAATCCTTACCCTTACCGCGACCCAGAGATAACCGCGAACGTATTGTAAAAGTAAAAGCTGTTTACGAAAACTATGATCGGGTTAACCCGATCCCCAGCAGACATATTTTGTCTCTTTTCAATGGTATTCATTCAGGAAAGATTGAAAACATTCAGCTACTGATCGGGTTAACTCAAATATAATTTCTGTAAACGGCTAAATAGAGAAGAGTCTAAAGAGACAATGCATGCAGCATGCAGAGGGCGCCCACGTCGCCCACAGTGCTCTTGCTCAGTTTGGTCGGATCAAAGCTCGACTAACGGATGTTGGGCGTTATGCGAGGCGTTATGTCATCAATACTTGAATTTATCACAGACATTGCGATTTGCTGCTGCCTTTTGCACGCACAGTTTTTGACATAATTTATAGTCCAGGAGGTGGCGCCAAAAACATGCAAGAGTTTTCGCAAGGCGGATATTTTCAAAATAGGTCGTACTTTAGTGTTAGAATGCTAGTGTACAGTCAGCACTCACAGTTCCGGGACAGCTGGCTCTGGGACGCGGGCAAAGTTGTAATTTTAAGAAGCATCTAAGCTGTTTTCTCAAAGCTCAAAATTTATAGAAATTTTGCACATTATCTGTTTGAAGGTCACAGATAACGTATGTAAATCGTCACACGTCTAGTTCGTTGCAAAAAGGGGGTCAGACGTCCTCAAAGTTTTTATTTTATGGTATTTTCTTCAAATATATTTGTCAAATACCTGCAAAAATATATTTTGACAGGACACCGAAGAAAATGCCATAAAATAAAAACTTTGAGGACGTCTGACCCCCTTTTTGCAACGAACTAGACGTCTGACGATTTACATACGTTATCTGTGACCTTCAAACAGATAATGTGCAAAATTTCTATAAATTTTGAGCTTTGAGAAAACAGTTTAGATGCTTCTTAAAATTACAACTTTGCCCGCGTCCCAGAGCCAGCTGTCCCGGAACTGTGAGTGCTGACTGTACACTAGCATTCTAACACTAAAGTACGACCTATTTTGAAAATATGCGCCTTGCGAAAACTCTTGCATGTTTTTGACGCCAGCTCCCCAACTATTATATGATTACTATCGATATTCGTATTGTTGATGGTTGGCAAAGAGAGATGTAACAAATGCAGAATAAATTTCCGTGCTACGACAAATGACACGTAAAAACGCATTTTTTTGGATTTTAAAATATGGATGGATTATGTTTAGTTATCAAATTA